CGCGGGGGCGCCCGCCCCCCGGCTCCCCCCGAGCCTTTCAAAGCCGCGGAGGGGCTCCGCTCCAGCGGCGGGGCATCCGGCGTACAAGACGACCCCCGATTTTTGGGGGATGTTTTTTAACATCAGAGGTCGTCTTGTACGCCGGAATATACGGTACTGATGCTAATAGAGATCAAAGAGGACTGTGAGCAACTTCAGTGATAGCTATACATGCTAGGTGAAGGAAAATGAAGTTTAATATAATTAAATACACAATAATAGGCATCGGAGGGAAAATTTAAACTAGTTACACACACGATAAAGTTATTAAAAGTGTATCAAGCAGGACAGGGAGCCATTCTAGACAGCTTAACGAAGACCTCTGCTGAACGCACAGGTGTTTTCCATTGTTTTTTAAAAGCAAATATGAAGATGTGCATGGGGGAATGAATAATAAGGAAAATATTATAATGTCCTTCTATAAATCAGTAATACAGCCTCATCTGGAATCTTGTATGAAATACCAGTCACCCTGTCTCAAAAACATATTGCAGGATTAGAAGGGATTCAGAGAAGGATGAAAATGATTAACGACATGAAAAATCTCACCTGGAGAAACTGGAAAGGTTGTAACTGTTTACATAGGAAAGGACTATATCAAATAGTGAATGGCCTAAAGATGGCAGACCTGGACCTTCTCTTCAAGCTATCCTGCCCTGACGCACAAGCACCCTTTGGGCAGAGTGTTAAGAAACAGGGCATAACGCCCAAATTGGTTGTGAGTTTTACACTTAGATTTAAGCAACCAGTTTTCAAGTGTACGTTCCTCAGTCATAACAACAGCCTACACCAGGAGTCACAGAGAGGACTGTTGTCGGGGAGGGGGAGAGGGCTGATATATGTTGCAATCCGGGTAAGCTTATCTTTGCCAAAGATGGTCCCTTACACCAAAGATCACAGCAATGTTCAGGTTACCCCTGCTCCAAAAGGTCCAGGTACTTACGCCGGATCAGTTGCACCTTAGATCTCACACTGAAGCCAAAGCTTGTAGCCATCTCTATACTAATCTATCTGCCCGTTTATTATATAGGAAATGAATTTTTTGCAAGGTTAAAGCGTAAACTGATATACACAGAAATTAGGCACAATCATAAATTCCAGTAAGTAATAAAAGAGGCTAGCATAAGCAAGCACCCTGGGTACATCTACACTAGAATAAAAGATCCATATCATTATCCCAATTGGCTTGAGTCAGCTGACAGGAGCTAGGATTGTGGGACTAAAAACTGCTATGTAGACATTTGGGCTTATGGTAGAACCAGAGCTCTGGGACCCTTCTCCTTCATGGAATTACTGTATTATAAATGCAAATGCTTGATTATTACTACCATATGCTACGAATGTTATCAATGAGATTAATGAATGTAGCAACTTACTACTACTGAATACGGTTGAAATACTACTCATGTATTTAGAACTCTAATACACATTTTAAAATACTGACCAGGCCCAGCCTTAGGGCAAGGTGAGCAAGGCAACTGCACACCCGACTGCTCGTTTACTGCCCTGGCTGGCACATGGGGCTGTGTTAGAGTCACTTGACTAGTAGTAAACAAGGCTGGTGGCAACTAGAGTGTAGCTGCAGTATAACAAGCAGGCTGCTGGAGTCAGAATTACTGAACCCGGGTTGCTTGTCACATGCGTTTGGTGCATGCTGACTGGGAGCACCCAGGTAATTAACTGCAGCAGCAGAGCTCTTTAAAGCACCCAGGGCTGCAGGGAAGGCAGTAATACAACCTCTCATTAATCTAGATTGCACCTCAAAACTTAACAATGTTGTGCCTGCAAAGATTTATTTTTTGTTAACTAAATAAACAACCATAGAAACAGAAGCTGATTTTGCATGTTTTCAAGGAGCTGGGCGAATCGGTGGTGATGTAAAAATAATAGTTCTATAATAACTAACCTCTGATAATTGTCTGACCTGACAAGGCCCCCTCAGCTTGATGGCATTGTATGATTGGATGTAATTCTCTGCAGTTAAAAGACACAGTTGATGGAGACTGGCAGCATCTTCCAGCCTAACAAAACCCTCATTGTAGTTCTACTTATTTTCCACTGGAGTTGAACATGTTGACACACTGAATCACTTAGATCAGGAGTCTCAAGCTCACAGCTTGCAGGCCAGCCCAGCTGGAGCGATTGCACAATCTGGCCCAGGACTCCTGGTGGGCAAGGGAGAGGCCTGTCTGTTAGCCCCCAAGCTCCATCCCTTCCTGCTATCGCTCCCCCCCATGGCTCCTTGTCCCCCACATACATGACTTTGGGGATTACTGGGGGGCCTGGCGCCATGCGGCGGCAGTGGTTGTACCTCTCCCTGCCCTCCACAGCAGAAGGAGCCGCAGGTGAAGCAGAATGAACTGGGTGGGTGCACTTGCTCCTCAGCTCCTGCCACCACAGGAAGTGTGAGGAGATACAACCGCTGCCTCCACGTGGCACCAGGCCCCTCCAGTGATCCCCAAAGCCGTGTGCTTGGGGGATGGGGACCAATGGGGGGAGCTTGAGGACTAATAATGGACAGGGCTGGATTGCACAATTGTTCCTGCCCAGGCTGGCCCGTGGGCCAGGCATTTGAGACCCCTGATTTAGGCATGTCTTCACTATTAGCTGGGCTGGATCAACAGGTCAACAACTGAGCCAACATGGGTCAATTCATTACAACTCTGTCAACTCTATTACTCCACCTCAACCAGAAGCACAAGGATTATGGACAAGAGAGCACCTGCAGTCAACATACTGCAGTGTTGAGACACTACAGCAATGGAAGGGGTGTTCTGCTAAATCCACTTCTCTGAGGGGTGGGAGGTAGTGCTGCTTTCAGTGGAGCTTCAGTGATCACTGGGTCTACTTAATTTTCTAATGTTGAGCAGACTTATCCACCATATTTTCCCTTCCCATTATTTCAGTGAAGATATCCTTGTGTATATTCTAATAAATGATTCTTGGGGGAAAATAAAGTGTACTGATTGGTTGTTAATACTGCATAAGAGTCTAGACATGCAAACATTTAGGCTTGTGAGTAACTTTATGCATGCAGGAAGTCTCACTCGGGTAGGTTATTCACATAATGTGCGTTTGCAGGGCTTTAAACAAGTTTTTTTTTACTTTTAAAAATCATTTACCATTTCACAAATGTAGTATCATACAGACTATGTGATAGACTGCATACCCACTCTATAAATATACACACACTGCTTTTGTTCCTGATTACTGTATTGCCAAGAGGCAATGGTTCTTCCCTTATGGGATTCGGAGGCAATAAGCACACATATTGGGTGAAGGCTTAAAGATTTTACTAAGCATATATTAAAGTACAATGCTTAATATTAGAGTAAAATACAATGAAGCAAATCTTATTAACAGGGCTTGACAAACTGGCGAGATCTACTCGCCAACCCTGCACCGCTCATGAACGGAGCGACCGGCTGAAATCTACTCACCACGGGCGAGTAGAAACAGCGATTTATTGAGCCCAGCTTATTAAGAAAATACAATGCTTATTAAGCCTAAGAAAATCTCAGAATAAAATGCAATGCCTACATCCCTTTCTGCTGCTGGGAACCCCCTGATGAAGGACAGCAGACCGACCCCAGTGGCCAGTGCATAGCACCTTCTGCAGCTTTGGTCTACTCCGAGGTTCCAATGTTAGGAATATCCCTGGCACTTATATACTGTTGGATCTACAGTAATCGCCCCTGTTGTTTTGAGAACCTAACAAGATCGTTGATACATTGCATATTTTCCCACATTCGATAATTAGCTTGTTGATACTTTGCATATTTTCCCAGGCCAACTAATTAGCATTATCAGGTGGGAAATATTCAGCAAAGATAGCTATGGGATCTTTCCAAGCCCTCCGGCACTCCCATTTCAGGTGCATGGCCTTGGGACCTGTCCCAGAACTTGTTGAAAGTCAACAGTGCATTCCTACACTGTACCATCTTGAGCAAACAGTTAATTCTTTGAGAATAACAAAAGAATAAGAAGAAGCAAAAAGCACAAATGGCTGCCTAGAGCACCCAGGCCTATAAGAAAATGCAGGCACAAAAGGAATGATAGTGGTACACCACCTAATTTCCTCGACCTCACAATCGTCTTCCGCATTTCCACTACACTTACCTGAAAGTGAATTAAAGAATTAATTGAGCAAACAGTTAATTCTTTGAGAATAACAAAAGAATAAGAAGAAGCAAAAAGCACAAATGGCTGCCTAGAGCACCCAGGCCTATAAGAAAATGCAGGCACAAAAGGAATGATAGTGGTACACCACCTAATTTCCTCGACCTCACAATCGTCTTCCGCATTTCCACTACACTTACCTGAAAGTGAATTAAAGAATTAA